GTTTAAGTTTCACTTCTTCTCTGGCTATCAACATTCCTTGAATCATTTGATGATGGAGAGGTCATTTTATTACTTTCACTTCATCTGGTCCTTTCCTGAAAACTGGATATTTATAATTAATCTTTAGAATATTTGAATCTCAAGTTAAAGATGCAATGCTTTTTTGTCATGGGCATTTTGGGTTAATCCAATAATTGGTTCTGAAAATATTTGGTTTTTCTGGAACATTGAAGGCAATTGCTGGCGAAGCAGGTGTTCCTTTTTTTTATAGGGCTGGATCTGAATTTGAGGAAATGTAAGTCTTTAGTTTTCTTTCTACTTTTTCCCCCTGTTAAATCATGGGTAGCCAACGCCCGTAAATTGTTTAATTAGGCTGCTGCAGCTATAGTTCCAGCATTCTTATCATGCATATCTGTAGCATGTAACCAAAAGTAATTAAGATACACTAAATGTTTGGTTTTAGGGATGCTTATGTTCATATCACTTTTCATATGCATTGTAGGTTTGTTGGGGTTGGTGCTCGACGAGTAAGATCATTATTTCAAGCAGCCAAAAAGAAGGTTTGTTGCTATTGACCAATGCTGTCTTCAAATTCATCTGTATTTTGGTTTTCTCTGTGCCACATGGTTCCCCATCTGAAATACGCCTAACAAAAAAATGAATATTTTTAGGGAATGCTCGGGTAGAGAAGAAATGGACCTCTTTTTTTTGTTAACAAAAAGAATATCTAATGAATCGTTATACATTTCAATTTGAATTAAGAATTTTGTGTACAAATACAAGTCGTTATTAATTAAATAACCATCCGATCATATATGTAATTATGTATTACAAATTACAATAAAGAATAAGAATTAAGAATAAAGAAGGAGGATTTTAAATGCGAGATTTAAAAACATATCTCTCACTAGTGTCTGCTTGTGTGACATGTTTTTCTCCCCATCTTTTTTTAGGCTCCCTGTATTATTTTCATTGATGAAATAGATGCAGTTGGATCAACAAGGAAACAGTGGGAGGGCCACACAAAGAAGACGTTACATCAGCTACTTGTGGAAATGGATGGCTTTGAGCAGAATGAGGTATCTTCAAACGTTTTGGACCATCGATTGTTCAAATTTTCTTTTCCAAATTTATTTATCATCTTCGTTGTGCAGGGAATAATACTAATGGCGGCTACAAACTTGCCAGATATTCTTGATCCAGCCTTAACAAGGCCTGGTAGATTTGATCGACATGTAAGTTTTTTTTTTTTTTTTGAAAAAAAAAATAATAATAAATTTAGATGGTTAATTTACTTAGAGAAGAAGGGAAGTGCAAAGATGAATCCTCCAAGAACAACCAAAAAGCAATATAACAGAGAGATAAAGGGGTGAAAAGAGGCTCACTTTGGGACCATATATTATTAACGTTACTCTCTAAAACTTTGTCCTTACTCCATGTTTCAGTGTGCTTAAAACTAATATATATTTGTAGACTTGCCTGTTAAAATGTTGTAAATATTGTCTTGAATGACTGTTTAAATTATTTTGCTGTACATAGTATAGAAAACTAACAATACCCCATTCTAGATTGTAGTACCAAATCCAGATGTACGTGGGCGCCAAGAAATTTTGGAGCTCTACTTGCAAGACAAGCCTTTAGCTGAAGATGTAGATGTGAAACCATTAGCTCGTGGGACACCAGGATTTAATGGGGCAGGTGGATTGTTGCTCAATAAATTCAATAAACATTGCATTACTGTTAATGTGATTCTTGTCCCCTTTCAAATTCTTGCTGCTGATGTTCTTGATTGTGGATCCTTAAATTAGATCTTGCAAACCTGGTAAACATTGCTGCCATTAAAGCTGCTGTTGAAGGTGCAGAGAAATTGACAGCTGCACAGTTGGAGTTTGCGAAAGACAGAATAATCATGGGAACAGAGCGTAAAACAATGTTCATATCAGAGGAGTCAAAAAAGGTATGCCTATATACAAAGATGTCCAGTTTGGTAATTGAGTGTGTGGCCTATGAAGTTCATGTATCCTATGTATTGGGCTTTCAGTCCTGACAATATTTTTCATGAAATGCTGCACTAAATTAATTTTAGTTTCAAGATTTGTCCTTGCAATAGGAAATTCATTGATAAGTGGGTTTAAGATGGCTTGCATAATTTTCAGCTTACTGCTTATCATGAGAGTGGACATGCAATTGTTGCCTTCAATACTGAGGGTGCGCATCCAATTCACAAGGCAACAATCATGCCACGTGGATCTGCCTTAGGAATGGTCACCCAACTCCCCTCAAATGATGAGACGTCAATCAGCAAGAAGCAGTTATTAGCACGCCTTGATGTTTGCATGGGAGGAAGGGTTGCCGAAGAGCTTATCTTTGGTCAGGATCATATAACAACCGGCGCAAGTAGTGATCTTCATACAGCAACTGAGCTTGCCCAATATATGGTAAATTTATGCCCCCTGGTTTACTCCAACAGTAATATTTCTATCAGATGAACTAGGGGTCACTCCCCCCCCCCTCCCTTACTGAATTGACATGAAATTGCTTTGCCATCTTCAATCCCAATCAATTTGCATTACCCACCAAATAAGTAGTGAGGAAGTCATTTAAACTTTGCCCAAAAAGTGAGTTAGATCTCTCAGCCAAAATATTTGCAAGACCTAGTTGCAGCCAGACTTATCTTTCAAGTATAAAATGGCATTTAAATCTTTTTTTCGTTTTTTAAAACTTTGTGGCGGACTTATGTTTTTCCCCGTGTTCAAGGTCTCAAATTGTGGTATGAGTGATGCGATTGGACCAGTTCATATAAAGGAGAGACCAAGTTCTGAAATGCAATCACGAATTGATGCGGAGGTTAATGTCCTAAATTTAAACTCTATTCTGATGATGTAAATCTTGTTTACACATTTCTACTCCCTCTTCTATCCCTTTCTGGATCGTTCTTTTTATTATCGTCAGAGGAAAAGGAAAAAAATCATTAAAGTTCTCATTTGGATTTGAATATTTTTCCTTTGCTGTGCAGGTTGTGAAACTCCTTAGAGAAGCATATGATCGTGTAAAAGCCCTCTTAAAGAAGGTCTGTCAAAATATGTTATTGTCTGTTCTGAATCTTTAAATAAAAGGAGAAATCTCTCTCTCTCTCTCTCCATGTGAGGAAAGTGGATCTCACTTCACTGTTTATGTTTTCTTTAACAGCCTGAGGTTTGATTTAGCGAAATGTAAAATGTCGCATCTTTGTGATCTTTCAAATCAGTTCATTTAATTTGCTATTAAATAAGGTTACAAACACAAATAAAAGCTGCAAGGCTTTCACTGAAAATAAATGCTTTCGCCCTGATAACTTGAGACATTGTTTTTTCAGCATGAGAAGGCATTACATGCGCTGGCTAATGCATTATTAGAGTACGAGACACTTAGTGCCGAAGAGATAAGGAGAATTCTTCTCCCACACCGGGAAGGACGGTTGCCAGAGCAAGAAGAACAAGAAGCAGAAGGGGAGCTAGTCCTAGCCTGATATTTTTTTTTTCATCTTATTTGTAACTAGGGGGAAGCTCTGTACAGTATACCTGGAAGTCCTACAGGTATTAATCTCAATCCAATTTCTGCTGTTTCCCTTCTTTGTGCATGCTATTTTTTTGTCGTTAAATTCTTATAGAAAGTAAGCTATATCTCTTGGGGCATATTTGGCACAAGTAGCCTTCCGCAAAATGACAATACTCAACGGTCACTTGTTAGATTATTACCCTTCTTTTTTGGGTGAAAAAACTGTGGAATTTGTAAAATCTTGCTGTCTAAAGTGGTTTATGAATTTATTATTTATTCTGAGACCCGACTGTGTGTTGGCAAGCTTGAGTCGTCACTTCAAGAATGGAAGAATAGACTTCAACCTCCCAGTCTCCAAGAGCACTGATGAATTGTATCCCTAAGATTGATGGGGATTTTGGCGGGGCAATAGCGAGAGTTTTGAACGGGCGGCACGTTTAGTCTTAAAGCAAAGTCGCCTGTTTGCAGGCACCAAGATTCCAGTCACCAAAAGACACTATGGCTCCTGAACTTTGGCAAATGACAAGCATGTCCTATTCTTAATCTTGTGTGCTTATTTCTTTGTTACTGGTTGCTGCTGCTGCTTTTATATCTTTTTTTTAAAAAAATAAAATTTCAATATTCGCACCATCAATACTGCAATTGGGTTTCGCTGGCGGAAAAAAATACAGCATTTGTACTTGATTTGCCTGTGGAAAAAATTGTATTTGGTTTGTTTATGTCGTCGAATTGGGGAAGTTCAAGTTCCGTTGAAGCGCCTTGGGAGTCACTATTATTTGTAGTTTTGCTAGGATTTCACTCTTATTTTTTGCATGCCCTGCAAATTTTAAGCTAATTGAAATATATTTGGCGGGGCACATTGCTGCCAGTGTATGAGTATGATAAGCAAGACTTCCAGCGTTACCGCAACAGTCGAATCCCAAATTACCTTGTTGGCAGCCAAAATACTACAACATGCGGCTTCAGTTCCGGCCTTGCTGCACAACATCCCTTTTGGTCAATTAATAAAAGGAGAATTACAATTAGGTTCCACTCAAGAAAATTAAATATAAAAAAATCTTTTGAAATCATGAAATTACTTTGAAGTTTTAAAGAATTTTTTTGTAATAAATTTTATTTGTTTAATTATCAAATTATTTTTTAAGTTTGTATTGATAACTGAAACAGGGTTGATAATTTAGGGTGTAAGGATTGAAAACTATCTCAAGTGGTTTGACAACCAGTCGCGATAATTGTCAATCCTTGTACCCTAAGTTGTCAACCATTGCTGTTTCAGTTGTCAATACAAACTTAAAAAAAAAAAGTAATTTGGTAATTAAACAAATAAAATTTATCGTAAAAAAATCTCTTGGGACTTCAGAATAATTTTATAATTTTAAGATATCTTTTTGTATTTAATTTCTTTGGACGGGATTTAATTGCAATTTTTCCATTAATAAATCCAATATTCTCGTTATTGTGAAAAGTTAAAAAAAAGAAAAGAAAAGTAAATACGTTTATGTTCCTACTCCTCCAACATACCAAACCAATAATAACCTCATCTTCCAGCGACACCCGAATGCGGAGAAATAACGCTGAAAGTTGCACAGAAGCACTTTTAATCCACTGGGTAAAAAAATCCGGAAAGAAATCGCTATATGTAATAAGGATGAAATACCATATGGCAAATGAAACGAAAATCCCTCCTACTCGAAACTCGATGACGTAGCCAGAGGCCCGTTTCTCTTGCTTGCCAAACAGGAGAGGCCCCGAAGCTTCATCCACCGCAGCCATGATCTCAGCCTCTGCTAATCATCAGCTCCCTATATCCGATCAATTGGCTCGGCGCGGTCCAGCACAGCTTGACCTTCTGAGATATCAGCGAGTGATTTGAGATTGCATTTAATTAATGCTTCAACAAAATACTGTAAGACCCATTTTTGTATTGTAAATTTGGGTCTTACATTGGACAGAGGAGTAGTACGTATCGTCCCTGGTGCTTCCCTCAGGCACATCCACCGCAAAAGATTCAATTACCAGTGTGGCTGGTCATCCATCAATAATTTCGGGGCGAAGCGACATGATAGACGAGTAATTCTAGATTGATAGCTAAAAGTTTTGTTTGGGAAAGAGGAAAAACGCACCTTAATTTTGATGCCCACACAAGAACCAATGCCACAACGCGCCTTTTATCCTTCAATCTCCATGACAACCACCACCATTAAGTAGTGATGCAGAATCGAATCAATCCGAGGCGCTCAAGACTGCGCTCACGGGTCTTCGATCACCTGCCGGCGAAAGCTTCCGGAAAAAGCAACCTATTTCAGCTGAAGACGATGTGTGCCTTGTGCGAGACTCTATGCCACCGGCAAACTACCGGTAGCTCCTTCATCATCTTGAACAAGATTGTGTGAATATAATTGTTTCCAATGCCCAGAGTCAAACTGTCAAATGAGATTATTAACAGCACGCCAGCTTGTCGTTTCTGCGGCCGGATGCCTGTTATCTGGATGAAAAACGACGGGGAGAGAAAATTTTTTATAGTATTTTTTTTAGAATTCTTTTATCTTTTAAATTAAACACATTAAATTTCTCCTCACCTTCCTTCATTTCATAATTAGTAATTACTAATTAGTTTCATAGGTGAACAAGTTCTCTCCCTCGTGAGCGGCACTCTCTTTCTCTCGCCAGCGTGACATACCGTGATCGGCGGGAGCGTGAGCGAAAGTGATCGGAGGTGAGGAGTAAGGAAGGAATGGAAATAGATTCAGAACGATCGAGTAGAGCGACGGAGCGTAATGGAGGAAAGACGGTGGATCTAAATCGGGATGCTGGAGGAAGTAATCAGAGAAGTAGGGCTCTCGTCAGGAAACTGACGACGGATAAACCGATCAATCGCAACGCTGTGATTACGGCAGTGAAGAAAGGCAACCTAAGCATCACAGATGTGGAGCCAAACGTACTCGTATTCACTTTTGAAGAAAGGAGGAAGACTGGAAGAATTCTGAGAGGAAGACCATGCATGATGGCTGGATTGTTGAGGTAGAGGTAGCTGTGGAATGGGTCGGAGCCAAAGGTAGTTATAGCAAATGGGACCCTCGACCTCGTATCTATGTCGGCTCAAAATAAACTTATACTCCTCCGGTCCTTATTATAAGACCCAATTTGACTTTTTATTTGGTCCTAATTATAAGACCCAATCCATTTTGTCTCTTATATTTATACATTTTTTTCCAAGATAATCCTTCTAATAATGATAGTTTTAGCCAATATATTTAATTAGCAAGGATATTTTAAGAATGACAACACTTATTTATTATAAATAACCAACTTAACTTACTTCCTTAATCTCCTCAAATAAGTCAATTGAGTCTTATAATTAGGACCGGAGGAGTATTATAAAATAAAGTTTATGTTTAAGACACCAAAACGTATTAAAATATCACTTTTTTTAATAGGAAGTAACACGTAAATATCTGTAAGTAATTTGTTATGTGGAGAGTGAAATCAATTTTTAGAGAAAGGAATTTTCTCGCTTGTTGGCCTCAACGCGAAGACGCGGACCCCTTCCTACGAACATCACAATTGGATCACCAGCGATCTCCCACAACTTCCATTTAATTGCAACTAATTGCAAGCACAGTCATTAGCACAATTGCGGCGAACAACCATCAGAAAATTAGAAAATTCTGCGATTCAGGACTTCATTCCTCCGACAGACCCTATATTGGAGAAATATATATATACTCTTCCGGTCCTTAATATAATACTCAGTTAACTAATTTGATTAGATTAAGAAAGTTAGATAAGTTAGTTAATTATAAGAAAAGTGACACATTTTTCCTAAAATACCATAATCATCTTTTTTAATATCCTCTCTCCCTCTTCTACTTGATTATGGTTGAGGGAGTATCCATAGAGGTAATTTAGAGAAAAATGATAAATATGAAAAATGGGTCTTATATTTAAGACCAAAACTAACTTAAAAATTGGATCCTACATTAAACACCGGAGGAGTATATATATACACACACATGGAAGCCATGAAATGCTACAACCCAAGTCTACTTGGTTTGAACCTTCAAGAACAATGAAAGCTACTACCTTCAATTCTAATTATAAAATTTTGTTTATAGGCCAAAAACAACATTTTATAACTATGAAGGGAAGTACTTTTGACCTGTGAGAATAGGCATGTGTCAGAAAACAGCATTGTCTATCCCAAAAGCAGAGGATCCTTATCGATCCAATTATACCACCCAAAAAACCTACGGAATTATGAAGAGTCAAAGAGGATCATTTATGTTCGGTCCAAAAACAAAAAAAAGAGAGGATCATTTATGAATTTTCAAAGACTATTTTGCATGAGCGGTCACATCAACTTACAATTCTAACTGTGCAGTGATCATCTAACATGGCTTCTCTGCTTCGCCATCTCCATCTACCATTTCTCCTGTACTTGTTTTTGGGGTGTCATTCTCCTGCATCTCAAACCCACGCTTTTCGGTTGAACTGAGCAATGTGTCTTCCCTACGTTTTCCAACATCATCAGATGCCTCATTTGCTACTGTTGTATTCTGCAGGAGGTCGACCGGAGTGGCTGCCGGATCCAACTCCCGACAACCTTTTGGGGCATTATGAGCTTCTTGTCCTGTAAGCAAGTAATAAGGAACCTGATGAGAGAAACGAAACAACTCATCTTTAGGAATCCGCCTTAACCCATGAGGGTCTCTGTGCCTATCAAACAAGCTCCTAAATCCGGCAACCTTAATAAGCGGGAAAACCACTACACCTTGGTCTTCGTCAAAATCTTCAACCACCTCTACCATGTCATACTTGTGTATCACTTCATCTGGAGTACGTTGGCTCCAATCTGGAGACCAGTTTCTGTAAAGAGCCCAAACCTCCCCCTTTCCAGGAAAAATGCGAACAACTCCTCTGAGGCCTTTTGACCACTTAACCTTGTGTGAAAAAGAATTTAATGATTCGGTTATTTCATGCTTGCCAGTTCTGAAATCCCCACAGGTTTTGCAAAAACCAGAACCTATCCAATCTATTGGACCCAGTTCACTATTGCTTCGAGAGTTAAGCCAACTGATCCGCATCTTAAATGGCTTCAAGGACACCACTTTGTAGATTCGAGCATAATACCGAGGCATCCCATCATCATCATCATAAGCAGCCCAGACCTGGTCCTCCTCGAAAGAATTTTCGGTTCTATCCAAGTCAAAATTGCGAAAGTCTGAATCCGGAACATTGATCGTTATACAGGTTTGGTCTACCTTAATTGAGTCGCTGTCCAGATACCGGCTACCATTAAAAGCGGACTCACCATGATTCTCCAAATCAGGTGTTTTGTCATTCAATGTGGCTTTGGTTCTCTTGTTCTGTTTGTGCTTCTTGGTATTTTTAGCTTCAGCTGTTGATCTCCATTCTTGAACCTTCTTACGAAGGTCGCTTCGGGCCTTCTGCATCAACATGTTCCGTATTTCAAACATTCCTAATTCTCTCATGCTATGGGGCTTGCTGGTGATACCAGAAAAGCCAGAGGTCCTTTCTGTTTGCCAGCTAACCTTTCTTGATTCAGAAACATGACCAAATCCTGCAGCCCCATGTCCCATGGCCAAATGATTACTCATGTATCCTAGATCACCATTAATGCGAATCTCATCTGTCCTCCTCTTCTTCGATGTCTTTTCTACCTTATTAAAGGAACCTTCAGCCCTCTTCAACATTTGACTCCTCTCCCATTCAGTAATTGATGGTGTTCTCTCAGAGTCTTTTGCCACTTTCTCACTTGCCTTCTGCACAACATTTGCTGCTTGAGCAGCAACAGATGATGAGCTATCTCTGCTGCCGAAACCAGCCGTTTTGGACTGAGGACCCCACTGAGAGCTTGCCCTCTTAAACAGTCTGCCAGAGGAATCGCCGGCTCCTGCATATTGAGAAACTGTACAATTGCTTCCTGGATTATTCACTGCAGCATCATGTTGAGAATTCTGACGCTGTTGGCTTGACCGATTTGCGGACTTGAAAATATTGGGAGGCGGAGGCATATCTACAGCCAAGAAATGCTCGTTACAGGTGGGACAAATAAGGGTATGATTCAAATAGATCTTGAGATATTCATAATGCGTCTTGCACTGTTTACAGATTGTCCAGAAGGTACTAGACTTTTTCGGTGGGGGAACTGAGGTGGGTTGTAAACGACATTTATTATTTCCATTCCTCACATTTGTAGTCACATTCTTGTTGAAATTATTAAAACCATTTGAACATGGTCCTTCTGACTGAGATCTGACATGGTTGGAAGCATTATGTTGAAATCCTTTCAAACTCATATCCTGGTTATATGCCTGTCTCTTGTCCTTTTCTGATAACATACTCCACGCCTCCGAAACCAGCTTAAAAGCACCTTCTGCGCCTAAAGACTTGTTAACGTCAGGGTGAAGAGTAAGAGCCAGCTTTCTGTAATGTTTTCTTACTGTCTCATCATCAGCGCAGGGGTTCACTTTAAGTATACCATACCAATCCATTTCTCCACTTACTTTAGTTTCGGAAGAGATGTAAACATCAAGAGTAGTTAAAAACTGAGAAATACCATCCAATGTAGGACAAAGATTTAGAGCCTTGAGGGCAAGCTTTTTTGCACCAGCATATTCCCTTTCTGAAAATTTCTTTTCTGCTAGTTCTTTGGCCCTAACTGCCTCATCTTTGTTGCACTCCATTTTATGGTTGTCTCAGCTTTGGATATGTTTGTCTTCGCCTAGCTATGACAATAAAGAATTCTCTACAAGCATTGGATGTATTCACTTTGATTGACGAAACCACTACATATTGTACTTGATTGAAAGAAGAAAATGAAGCACGGACTGCAATAAAGATGAAAAGGCAAAAAAGCATTAGAAAATGAGCATGTAATAAGAAATTTTTGGAAGTCATAATTGGAACCGATAAAATGCCTCCAAACTCCTCTGACGAAAGCCTAGTACTGCAACAGAGATGCTGAATCACAGCATAATTTTGAGTTCGGCGAAGTATCTAATTCACAGAGTCTACTAAAACATGTAAAATAAAAATATATACATTCACAAGTAAAACCATTGATGTCTTCACTGAGATTTCCATATGAGACACGTTTCAGTTCCAGGTTATAAGAATTACTATTTTCTTTTCACTCTAAACATCTTAAAAGGGTTATTAAAATCTGACAACCAGATGGGTGGAGTTCAATTAAAAATCAAGAATTTGAAAGCTA